GGAAGGGGGGGGGGCAGGTTTTCCAGAGACCCCGCCCCCATCCTCGGCTTTCTTCCAGCCGCCGGGCCAGAGGGGTGGGGCCAACGCCGGCCCCATCCTGCTCAGCCCCGGTCCCCCTGCACCTCTCCACTTAACATATTTGCACAGTCTGGACCCTCCCTGTAAATGGAATCCTCACACACTTGTTCCCCTTGTTGCCCACGTTCACCTGTTGGCAGCAGGGGTTTCAGAGCAAACCCACCACCACCCACACAGAGGGGAGCCCCTCCTCCCTGAGTCCTGGAGGAGAAGGCCCGCGGGGCAGTCACCCCACACTAGGCTGGGCGCAGGCACCCCTGCAACATGGCACGTGCAGTAACATGTGCATGTAACATGAACACACGAGATGACATGGGTTCTGGCTTCACTGGCTTCAATCAGCAAAAGCAAACAACAGGTGAGCGCTCAGAGCCCAAAATATTTTATTTAACAATTTGCAGTGTAACAATTTGCATTTAGGAAAAATAGCAGCTCCCACCTGAAGGAAGCTTCTTGAATCAAAAGACACTAACAGAGAACAATGGGCTGGAGGAAGCCAAGGGCAGGAGAGTCTCAGGCCCCAGGAATCACACCCCACTGACCTTGGGACACAAGAGATGCCCCTAACGAGGTCAGCCTTTCCCAGTGAAAGAACAAATGGGTCCAGTCATACATGTCTATGGAACATTCTGGGGGTCTTTCCTAGATGATCACGTGACCCAGGAAAATGGGAGGACCTGTGCTGAGTCCACTTTCATAGGACCCTACACTGAGATTTAAAATACCAAGCAGAACTACAGAAATTAGTTCCTAATGATTTTTATAAATATTTAAATCTTTCCCCAGTCTCTTTAGGCTTAACAAGAATGTGAATGGTTTTAAGAACAGTCGATGAAGCCTTAAAGCTTTGAGGCCGGTAGGAGGAAGGTCTTTCTTTGCAGGTTCATATGGCTGAGAGTCAACATATTAGCGACTGAAGGTCTCAGTGTGGAAAAAATTCAGGGGCCGAAATATCAACTTCTAGAGCTTCTGTCAAGAAATTATTTTAGGCTGCTTTCTTCAAGATGCTGCCAATGATGTCACTCAGGTAAGAGGAAGCATGTGGGCTGGATGGTGCTCCGAAGCCAGCCAGCTGAAACACGGCATCGGCCAGTGTACAGAGTGTAGCAACCATACGGCTGTTCTGACGATGCGTCTAACCAGGCTACTCACTAAAAAGACCCAAATTGATAAATTACAGTCACAGCTTTGACACTGGCTGATCAGTGAGGACCAGTCACACTTGGAGCACAAGCTCTGTTCTGTGGCTCTTTCACCCCTCATGGGCAGAAAAAGCCAGTTCCCTGGTTGCAGGAAACCCCTCATGGTCCTAATCGGGCCAGAAAACTCAGTGCTGCTGCAAACACCTTTGCTGCAGGACAGAAATGCGCCGCGGTGCCCAGGGCATCTCAGACCTAACTGAGCTACTGCTAAGTTAACTCCGCCTTCCCTCGGAGACTGATTAGGAACGTACCGCCCATCAATCACTGTTCTCGGTTTGAAATGCTGGGGCAGGGAGCTGGCTACACTGGCTGCAGAGCCGGCATCAGCGTCCCTCCTGAGTCACAGGTTCACTCTTTTCTCCCAGCATCTTAGAGGAACCGTGGGACGAATCTGGCAGTAACTCACCACTGGAGAGACGCTCTAGTTACTGTGGTTCAAAGTCTCCCCGCAGCAAAGGGAGTCCCAGCTGCACTTAGCTTAACATTCTTAAGTGACTATGAACACTTATCCTGAACTCATTCTTTAAGTAAAAGGTTCTGAGTCAAAGGTTCATTCCTTTTCTCCAGATCTTAGAGGAGCTGTGGGATTAACTTTGGCAACACTTCCTAGACAGGTGCGGAGCATCGTGGCTCTGAAATACTGCTTGTCCATCTAGGGACGGAAGGGAGGTCGCAGGCAGTCAGCCTGGGTGTCGGTGGAGAGCAATTTCAGGTTCCAGATGCTGATCCAGAATAGGGATCAGTCTACCTCAGTGCTGGGTACTTCCTCTGGCCAATCCTCCCAGGCCTTGAACTTCCCGAGGTGGCAGAGGCCTGAAATGACATGAACAACACTGACTTCCGCAAGCCTGCCCCCCGAGGTGGTGACACTCAGCGAGGGCTCAGCATGCTGCAGTGTGGGCCTGGGTAACAAGCCAGAACACACATCAGTGATGTCAAAGGGGCATGTTCGCTTTGTCCCGTTTCTGCAGCCCACAGCCACTGGCCAAGGTGGTATCAGATGCTTTAAAGGTGCAGTAGTTTGTTAGGGGCTCAAAGTGAGGCCAATTCCAAGAGCCGAGAGTCTAAAGACCCCAGGGAGGGGCACAGGGAAGGACAGTAAATGAAAACAGGCGCTGACTCTTGCTTCCTCACAAATTCTAACTGACATGAAGCTTAAGGGGTTCTTGTAGAGGCATGAACTACAAGATCAAGGTAAAGGGAGGGAAGAAAACCACCACCAAATCTTGAAGTGGAAATGTAGACAGATGGCCAGGAGGTAACGGGAAGCCTCGGTCCTGGGAAGGGGGAGGGGAAAGGAGGCCAAGAAAGGGCCTCATCTGCAGGCACCCAAAGCAGAGGGCAGCAGGGGGATAGGGAAGGTTGGGGCAGCAGGATGGGCTCAGAGTTAGGAGGCCAGGGCACACCGGGCAGCTGGGGCACCACAGGGAAGCGAGGCAGGGTGTGCATCAGGATACCCTGGGGTCAAGTGAGGTTTTCTATTCTGAATACCAAGACCCCTGCAGACCCCTGCCTCCACTCAGCTCCCCTAACCTGGCAGCCAGTCTGTACTTCAGAGGCAAGAGCCTGGAAGGAACAGAGGAGGGGGAGAAATAGAAGGAGACAGTTAAGAACACTCCTGACTGAAGGACACGGCTACCAGGTGATGGCAGCAAGGCCAGCGCAGCACAGTAAACCACGGGAGAGGCACGTCAGTGGGACCTGGCAGGATCCAAGGCAGTGGCAGAGCCAGGAGTTGGGTCATGGGTTGGGGGAAAGGCTTCTCCCACTTCCCGCCCCAGGAGACTCTGTGGGCACTTACCTGTGCAAACTGTGCAGGGTTGTAGAAGGGCACAGATGCCCCTGGAGGGCCCCCTGCCTGGTGGTGGTCACTGGGAGCCTGAGAACCACAGAGAGCTCAGCTCAACAAGACAATGTCACAGTTATAAATACAGATATTATTTCTGAGTAAGAACTTACAATACTATGAAATAAGCCACAGAAGCAGAGGCAAGAGGCTTCTCGTAACACTGGGTTTCCTTACTTAATGGCTCACAGAGAAGTGGTAAAAATCACAGCAACATGCAGAGTAAAGTGCTTCAGAGACCTGGACATGCATAGCACCGGCAGGTCACGTTAGTGCAGGGTGAGCAGTTAGTAGACATGTCTGGTTACTTCAGATCTAAAGTGTCCAGCTACGGAATCCAATGTTTTAATATGCAAATTGAAGCCTTTCAAGCTGAGTCACTGGGAAAAGCCTGGCTCCATGTGACACAGAAAAGATGAAGCATTCCTTTATTTCCCAACAGACTGACCAAAGGACAACTGTCCTGCTACACTTTGCCTGGCCAAAAATAAGCCTTCTTGAGCTTGATTAGAAAGAGGAATTCTTCCTTTCAAATGAGAACAACAACCCCGGCAGCTACTGACGTGCTCACACAGTGAGGCTACGCCCAAGACCGGTCATTTGGAAAAACCAATTCAGAGAGAGCGCAGTTACAAATCTTCTACCCCCTGGCACATCTGGGGTCTGCTCAACTGTCAGTGCATCTGCACGTGGAACACCCTCTGAGACACTGAAAGAAAGGAACACTGCATCCCCAGTCATGTGATGGCTGGGTGACACCATGGGTGATGTTAGTGACCAACCAGTATAGCACCCTTAAAGGAACACAAAGGTGACCCAATTCAGCCCTGTGTTCAGTGAGAACCACCAGCCACAGGTACCTGGTTAAAATGCTGGCTCACTTCACGTGACAGTGAACTCATTGAGCTACAGCGCGAAAGCTACAAAACAGCGAGAACACAACAGACAGAGAAGTCAACGTGCACGTCACGCTCCAAGCCGTCGGTGTAATTCCAAAGAGCTTTAAAAAGCCACGAGAATTCCAATGGGGAAAAGCCAGAGTGAGCCTCACATGCCCATTTTAATGCACAGTTCTGGTTAAGAAACAACCATTAGTGC